AACAAAACTGAGTATAATCCTGCAGGGGAAAAAATGGTCATTCAGTGAAATAGAGGATTTTCAAGCATTCTTGATGAAAAGACCAGAGTTGAATAGAAAATTTGATTCTCCAATACAAGACTCGAGTGGAACATGAAGAGGTAAACAGGAAAGAGAAAATCATAAGAGACTTATTATGGTTGAACTGTTTACATTCCTGCATGGAAAGATGATATTTGTAACTCATGAGACCTTTGTCAGTATTAGGGTAGTTGGAGGAGAAAAAATTATATGTACGTATGTATAGATATAGATAGATGGCACAGGGTGAGTTGAAAATGAAGGTGTCGTATCTGGAGAATAAAATTAAAGGGTGAGAGAGGAATATACTAGGAGAAGGAGAAAGGGAGAGGTCGAATGGGGTAAATTACCCCACAAAAAAAAAAAAAAACAGAAAAGAAAAGAAAAGGCTCTTACAGTGGAGGGGAAATGCGGGAAGGTGAGAGGGAATGAGTGAATCTTATTCTCACAGCATTTGACTTAAGGAGGGAATAACATACACACTCAATTGGGTGGGGAAATCTGTCCTACCCTGCAGGAAAATGGGGGGAAGGGAACAAGAGAGTAGGGGAATGATAGAGAGGAGGGCAGACTGGGAAAGGGAGTAATCAGAAGCAAATACTTCTGAGGAGGGACAGGGTCAAAAGAAAGAATAGAATAAATGGGTGGGTGGGATAGGATTAAGGGAAATAGAGTTAGTTTTTCACAACATGTCTACTATGGAAGTGTTCTGCATAACTGCACATATATAACCTATATTTAGTTGCTTGCCTTATCAATGAGAGTGAGTGGGGAGGGAGGAAGGGAGAAAATTTGGAACCCAAAGTTTTAAAAACACATGTTTAAAAAAAATAATGTTTTCACATGCAACTGGGAAATAAGAAATACAGGAAATGGGATACAGAAATCCATCCTGCCCTACAGGAAAAGTGAAGGCGAAGGGGATAAGAGAAGGGGGGGGAGAGATAGAAGGGAAGGCAGACTAAGGGAAGGGATATTCAGAATGCATGCCATCTTGGGGTGGGGGGAGGAGTGAGAGGGGTGAAAATTTGGAACTCAAAATCTTGTGGAAGTAAATGTTGAAAACAAAAAAATAAATAAAAATTACCATTAAAAAAATAGATTTTCCCCTTAAAAAAAAAAATCACTGTTTCAATGTATTCCATCAGATGGTATATTCTTTTGTTGCCCAAATCAATTCCAAATCTTCAGTTGCTTCTGAAGTTTGAAACAGAGAATCAGTAAGTGGCACACACTCCTTGACTCTCCACATTCTCCTTTGTAGATATTATTTTATTGCTACTCATTTTAATTACACTCCACACCCATAGAACAATGGCCTGGAACTCCTTATTCAACCTCTTCCCTTCCATGTTCCCCAAGGCCTGAAAAAAAATGGCCTAACTTCCAGCAGTACTAGTAACTTCTCTACCTGTGGCACTATGTTTTGTGAAATATGGTTTGAGTTTGTAACATATCAGTAATTAGTAACCCAAATGAGGCCAAACGCAAGGGTGAAGTATGTAATGAGGAAGCAGTCTGGCTGTTGTATAAATCTGGCTGATGTTATCACAATAATGTGATTAAACAGGCAAACCTCTGGAAAAAAAATAAGAAGACACTGCCACACATACACACTCCTTTGCACACATAGGTGGCAGGTCCACCCCTGCAAATATATATGCAACATTGCCTATATTTTTCAGATTTTTTTAATGTACTGATCAGTTTTGCTGATTTTTTCCTTTTTTTTGCTTTAAAAAATATTCTTTGCATATAAAAAAATGCTCTAAATTACTATTGATTACAGAAACACAAATCAAAACAACTCTTCACCTATCAGATTGGCTAACATGACAAAACAGGAAAATGATAAATGTTGGAGAAGATGTGGGAAAATTCAAACACTAATGCATTACTGGTGGAGTTGTGAACTGATCCAACCATTCTGGAGAGCAATTTGGAACTGTGCCCAAAGGGCTATAAAACTGTGCATACCGTTTGACCCAGCAATACCACTTCTAGATCTGTATTCCAAAGAGATCATAAAAATAGGAAAAGGACCCACATGTACAAAAATATTCATAGCAGCTCTTTTTGTGATGCCAAAGAATTGGAAATTGAGGGTATGCCCATCAGCTGGGGAATGGCTGAACAAGTTGTGGTATATCAATGTAATAGAATATTATTGTGTTATAAGAAATGATGAGCAGGCAGACTTCAGAAAAACCTGGAAAGACTTATATGAACTGATGTTGAGTGAAGTGAGCAGAGCCAAAAGAACATTGTACACAGTAACAGCCACAATGTGTGATGACTAATTTTGATAGACTTATCTCTTCTTAACAATGCAAAGATCTAAGACAACTCCAAAAGACTCATGACAGAAAATGCTACCCACATTCAGAAAAGGAACTATGGCGTCTGAATGCAGATTAAAACTTATTATTTACTCTCTCTCTCTTTTTCCTTTCTCATGGTTTCTCCCATTGGTTCTAATTCTTCTTTAAAACACGACTAATATGAAACTAGGTTTAATATGAATGTATATGTTGAGCCTATCTCAAATTGCAAGCCCTTTTTGGGTAGCGGGAGGGGAGGAATGGGGAGAAAATTTGGAACTCAAAATCTTATGGAAGTGAATGTTGAAAGCTAAAAATAAATTTTAAAGAAAAGACAAAAAGGAGACAGCTAGGTGGCAAAGTAGATAGAGGATTCAGGAAGACCTGAGTTCAAATGTGGTCTCAGACACTTGACACTTACTAGCTGTGTGACCCTGGGCAAGTCACTTCACCCCATTGCCTCAGGGGGAAAAAAAAGATAAAAAATAAATAAAAATAAAAACATTCTTTGCCATATGGGATGGCTCTCTCTAGGAGGAAAAACAGGGAAGAGCGATACCAGGAGAAATTCTAGCAATGTAAAAACAAAAAGACATCAACAAAAATTTACTTTTTAAAAAAGTTAGCAGTCAATGGTTGATAGTCACAATCATTTCCTTTTTCTCATTTCCCATTTTTTAGCATCAAGGGCTTATCTGAATAGATCAAGTTTAGGGTGTAGAAATGTACATAGAATTATTGCCTCTGTGGGCTTTCTTTGCAATTGATGTTTACATTAACCTTTGCTCATACTACTCAAAGATTTACTAAATACAGCTGATTCTTATACCAGTGCCATACAACAACTGTATGTTGAAACACTACTTTACATTACAAATATATTATCCCCAAAATGCTGTTATTAGAAGCAACATTTTCTAAGTCTAAAAACACAAACTAAATTCTATTAATCTCTCACTATTTCAGTTACCAGTGCCACAACCTAACTCCAAACTACCTCTCTAGTCTTACTTTACATTATTCCTCTTTACACAATCCACATTCCAACCACACTGCATAACTTTCTAAATGTTATCTATACTTACTAATGAGAATTTAACCTAACTACTCACACAAGAAAAACCAAGGGTATAAAGAATGCCTAAATGTCCAAACTGTGCAATGCATTTGGGTGAAGAGCCTACGCAATGGGTTCATCTTGGACAGGCACTACAGAGAGGCAACGTACTAGACGTAGAAATAAATAGAAGTTAACAAGCTGGACTGCATCTGAGAAACTATTAAGTACTTTTAATGATCTTTAGTTTCTTCCCCCAAAAAATACATTCTTTTGATGATGTTACATAGCTATGAAGGACTGAATCCCAGAGTATCTGAAAAATAAAAATTGTGGGTCAATCAAAGGGAAAGAGAGGTACAATAGACACAAATGGGTCACAGCATATTACCAATGAAGAACTATACGAGAAAAGAGGCATAAAATTGGCTATCAAAAAAAAAAGTTTGACCAAAAATAGCAAAGAGCTAGTCATGTGGTAAGAATAAGGAATAAGTGGTAGATAGCCCATGTGTTCCTGATAGCCACATAATGTCAAGAGATTAAGAAGATGGACCCGGTGGAAGGTTTAAAAGCAAATATGGACAAGAGATTCACTGAATGAGAAAGAGTGAATGGGCGGCAATCTGCATTGCTGGAGGAAGTACTTTCATCACCCAACGAGATTCATGAGAATCCCATTTAGATTTAGAATGAAGGGACCTACAATGCCATCCAGTCCGACCTCCTCATTTTATAGATAAGGAACTGGAGGCCCAGAAAGGTTAAGCAACTCATCCAAGATCATAAAGGTAGAAAGTGTCAGGATTTCAATATGGATTCAATTCAATAAGAATTTATAAAGCACCTATTACATGCCAGATACTCAGGATACAAAGGCAAAAATAAAACAGTCCCTGCCTTCAGGGAGTTCATATCCTATTGGAAGGTAACAATATGTATATAGAAAATTAAACAGAAAATATAACAAAGTAATTTCAATATGGAGGTCACTAGTAACTGGGGGCAGTAGGATAGGCTTCCAAGCTTTGAAGGATGCTAGGGAATTGATAATGCAGGTGAGGAGATTACAAATACATCAAAATACTCAAGTAAAAAATGACAAATAGGAAGAATACAAAGAAATACATTTCAACTCCTCTGCAGTGATGTAAAGTGAAGGGAAAAAAAACAAAATAATATGCACACCGAACCTATGACTGCCTTGGGAAACAAAGGCTTAAGCAAAATCATTATTCATTCATCTTTTATTTGTTTATTCTCCCTAGATTTTAATCATAACACATATGCATTTAAAAACTTTCATTTTCCTCATATTCAATTTTTCTTTCAAAAAGTGGGCTACTATTTCTACAAATATTTAAAGGACAGTAGCAGATTAACATGATGTAAAATTAAATATATTGAAAAATCAAATCCTAGGCTTCATATTTAATAAATATACTAGACTCCATATCATCACTTCAAGAAACTATTTCCACAATACAACAATTAACTCCAAGTATTCTTCCTATTTCCATACTAAACTGTTCTTTGAGTACTCACCAATATATAAAACCTACCTGCGCATTATGGCTAGTTGTTATTTCCAGTTTTTCTTTTTTTGCTCGATGAAGTTTCTTTCTCAGATCTGTAATGAAATCCAAATCTGACTCATTGCTTCTATGCATTTCTTTTAAGTCAACAGCAGTATTCTTTAACCTGTTAAATGAAATTATAAAATATAATTGTGGTATTTAAACTTCCCAATAATTTTGTTACATTTGCATAAGACACACATTTAATTTAAAATAAGAGCATTTCATCTCATGAAGAGAAGGAAAAGTTAACAAGAGAAAGAAAGTTTTTTCCAATATATGATAGGGAAAATGCTAAGTTCCCTGGGAAACACACAGGCTTTAAGTGATAGCATAAAATATCTCTAGCTTTGGCCACTTCTCTTATACTCTTAATATTCTCTTAATCCTCTCAGGGCAAGATAACCTCATAGCTCTACTACCACAAATTTTTCCAAGTGAAGAATGGTTTCCAAGAGTACAGCTTACGGCATTGCAAACTTCTAAATCTTAGACTCCACATCATCATTTTCAGAAACTATTTCTACCTGCAAGGGGATCTCCCTACTTATTAAATTATTCTTTGAGCAACCCCACCAATGCAGAATTTTTATATTTGTTTTGCATATTAATGTGAAATACTCAAAATGGTATGACTTTATTATGTAAAATGGAAAATCCAATTTGTCTTCAGAACCCTATATCCAGTAAAACTCCCCGCCTCCATCAAGAGGTGATTACCATGGCAACACATCCATTAAGTAAAATTCATACCAATTTCAGATGTAGTACCAATTATAAAACAACAGGCTTTTATGCATTGGCCTTGCAAGTCCAAATGTATATAATGATAGTAAAGGTATTCACATAAGGGCATTTTATAACCCCTACATAAAAATAGGGGTATGCTAGCAAATTTCCAGTTAACAGAGAGTAAACTTATTGATAAAATGATAAATATAACTTCCATTTCTTTAGCAGCTTAGCACATCTTCATTCATTCAACAAGTATTTACCAAACAACTATGCCAAAGCATTAGGTGATGAAAAGAAAATATAAAAAATAGTCACTGTCTTCCAGAAACCTACCATCTATTTAGGAAACGAGATATGCATATAATAGCCTAAAAGAAGAGATTAAAAAAAACTACAAAATACACATGAACGAGCCCCAGTATATAGCAATCTAGCGCTACATAACCTAGGGATAATAAACCTTTTAATTGCCCCTGAGAGCAGTAAGTTGTTACAACAAAAATTGATGCTCAAACGTGGATTATAAAAAATACACATTTTTTTAAATACCCTGGGTTATTTAGGAAAGATTCAACTAAGTTCAGTATGCTCTTTTTTTTAAGAACACAAAAAGTATGCAATGTATTTGAAAAAAATGACCTTTAAAAAGTTTCTAAGTTTTAGATGGTTCTACCACCTACTATACTTGTGAACCTGGACAAGTCATCTTCCCCTTCTATCAGGTTGGTCCCTTTAAGGTCCCTTCTAGCTCTAAATTCTATGATCCTATGAACTTAAAAGGATAAACTTCAGCTATCAAAATTTTTTTAATTACGTGAGACAGCAGATTCATTTCCCATACCAAATAATTATGTAGAGCAGCTGATTCCTTGACCTTGCCAAATAAAGTATTATAATAATCATATTTTTCTAAAAATTATGAAATTCTTCCCCCTGCTAAATGGAAACATGATTTTTTAAATGTTCAAATTTTTAAAATCCACAGATGAATATTGTAATGATCTACTTAAGGTCTGAGATCCAGTCAACTGCGACACAGTTTTTTATAGCATATCTGGAAAGAACACAACCAAATTAAAATGAAAGAATGCTTTCAATACAGATGAAGTAAAACCATAACATTCTTTTGAAATAAATAACCATAACATGTTCTCTTCTTCCATATGTCCACTTGTGTCCTCAGTAGTTCAGTGTATTGCTTCTCAATATACAAATATTCTAATATTTGTATTTGCAAACATCTGAAAAACAAACCTAGTGCATTTTATCAAACCAAAAGGCAAAACACTCATTTGTATAGAGCATGCTATATTCAAATTGAACTATGTTATAAAGCTAAATTTTCCAAGAAATACAAGTAACATTCAATATAAACCTTGAAAATTCAACATTGAAAGTCAAAGAATAACCCACAGGGGAAGAAAGAAGATCTGAAACAAGGGAATCCAGGAGTCAATGTTAAGAAAGATAAGGTTATATCATATCAGGTTGAGATGTATTGGATCTTTGGAGGCACATATCATGGAAATATCTTCACATAGAGGATTATAACAGACAAAGAAATGCTGAAAATGTGATCTCTGCTTTAGGATGGCAATTACTGGATAGTTATCCACAGAAGGGAAGAGAGTCACTTAAGAGGTATGGTTTGTCTCTATTTGAGTAATGTTCCATAAAATCATAGGGTATTGGTTAGAGGCCATATAATTCAACCCCATCAATATAATTTTGAATGTGAAATTCAACCAACATGCATTTATTAAATACCTACTTAATAGTACAGTGTTAGGTGCTAAAGATACAAAGACAAAAAAGAAGTTGCGTTTCTTAAGGAACTTCAATATACAATGGAAAACATTGGATTGAATATTTCTAAAAGTAATGAATTGATAGAATTGAAAAGGTTACTTAACAGTGAAAGTACTTAGGCTCATTGGACCATAGATTTAAAAGTGCAAGGGACCTTAGAGGCCACAGGGACCCCTTTGAGCTACACCTCCTAATTTAATCTAACATCCTGAGAAAGAGGCAGTCAAAAAAAAGACAAAAGAAGACATAAATCTGATTAAACTATCTCTTGTATGCATTAATAGAGGTTCATTTGAATTAAGAAGCTCATCTTTTAAAATATAATTATCCCCGTAAAAGTTGTTTACCATAAGTCACTGAAGTCTCAGTATTAATTAATATATTTAGAGGTAATAATAGTGGAGCCTGATGGGGTGGTCAAAAGAAAATTTAGTATAAATATGGCTTCCAACAAGTCATTAACCTTCAATTTCCTCCTCCTCTGCAAAGTAAGGATAATAATTCTTAGAGAATTAGAGAACCTACTTTCACAGAGTTGTTGAAAGGATCAAAGGAGAATGGATGGATATAAATGTAAATTATCACTACCATTAACAAAAAGAATATGAGTCTGAATCAGAAGGCCTGGGTTTAAGCCCCATTGCCTGCTAGTGTTTACATGATGTTGAATAAATCACTTAATTTAATTTCTCTGGGCTTCAGTTTATTCACCTGTAAAATAGAAAATTTTAACTAAATGCTCTAAATCAGTAGTGTCAAACTCAGATAGAAACAGGGGCAACTAAACCATACTTAAGGATCCTCACAGCCTCACACTGACTTAGAAAACTAAATATTAAAAATATCTATGTTCTATTGTATTTTTATTGATTTTGTTAAATATTTCCCAATTACATTTTTATCTGGTTTAATCCCTCTCCTTTACAACTGCTATTCTACCTAGTTTCAGGTCCTTGGAATAAGATGTCACTCCCAGGATAAATTCATCACTTGTAAACTCACCACCCTACAACTACTCAAGGTTTGAGTGATGCCACCTCCCTCAAATTTCTCTCCCCTCTGATTCGACAGCTGGAGGGAAAAGTAGCAAATTCTTCCCAATGCCCTCCCTCATAAAGGATAGAAGCTAGACTATCTCTACCTGCCTCTCCCCAGCTCTCTCACTCCCCCTACTCTTCCCCTCCCTTTCTGCCTCCCTGTGTATCTCCCTCTCTAGACTACAAGCTTCTTGAGGAGAGGGGCTGTCTTTATTAACTATTATCCCCAGGACTTAGAACAGTGCCTGGGACACAGTGGGTTTATTGGATTGTAACCATGATCAACTGTGAAAGACTCAGCTACACTAATCAATACAATGATCCAAGACAATTACAAAGAACCCATCCTGAGGCATATTTTTTCACTTTCTTTGTTTTTCTTGCTTTTCTTTTTTTTGGAACATGGCTAGTATAGAAATATGTTTTGCATGACTTTACATATATAACTGATTTACTGCTTGCCTTCTCAATGAATGGGGGAGGGGCTAGAGGAAGAGAATTTGGAACTCAATAATTTTTAAATTAACATTAAAAACAAATAAATAATTTTAATAAGTAAATGTTTATTGAAAATTGGATTGCTTCCAGCTACATATGACATCTCTGCTCTAAATGGTCTCTTCCAGCTCAAAGACTCAATTAAGGAAAAATCTCCTGGTACCTAAAAAATATACACACAGCTGCTAAGGAAAAGAAGGTCCTGATCTGGGGATAAAGAAAGGCATAATTTTCAAATATAGGGCACTGAGAAAGGGGGTCCTGACTGAGGTAATTTATCAAAGGAGAGATGGGAAAGATAGCCAAAGGATAGCATACTGGTAGAAGGTAGGTGCTATCAGAAGTTGGAAGGACCCTAAAGACAAACTTTACATCCTTAATCATTTTATCTATTGCCCTGATAGACTTTTTCGCAGGGGAGAGGGATAGGGAAGACTGGGTTGTCTTCCTATCTCACCAAGGTTAGAAGTGCAGCAGCCACTCACAGGCCTGATCTCAACACTGTTCAGATAAGATTTTTTAACATGAAATTTTATCATAGTCCTATTAAAATATTAATGGAATGAAAAAACTTAAGTATTACCTTTGGATTTCAGCATTAATATTACTTGGATTGATGCTCATGATGATGTCATCTGACTGTTAATAACCAAAATTCTCTTTTACTTTTTACTTATGAAAAATGAAAACCTTCAAAGATGTCTTTTGCTTTAGAGCTCAAGTAGATACAAAGAAGTCTGTAAGAAACAAACATATTGAAAATAGTAACAGAATAAATTATTTCTGAAAGGAATAAATGTAATACAAAAAATGTGGTTCTGAAAGAATTAATTTTAAGATACATAAATAGAGCCTAAACTCTCTTGACCTATATTCTTGATTCACAAAGACCATTCCTTTTCATTAACAAGTTATTATTCACTGCGAACAAGTGACTAAAAAGATCAAAGAATTCTCAAACGGATAACTCCTCGTCTATTTTCTCTTTCCTTTACCCATGAGATTGAGAGGCCGGGGAAATGGGGTAAGAGAAGAATTCCAAAAAAACTACAACCTTTCCTTTTCTTTCTGGTATCCTTCCTCAATAATAAGTCATCTGAATAATACATGGTCATTCAATTAAGAGAACAAAACTACTACTTTATAAGGAAACTTCAAGATATAAATTCTAAACAGACAGATAATTTACAAGTATACAAATGATCTCTTAGCTGCCAAATCCAATGAATGGCCTTTTCTCAATCCTCATTCTCTTTGACCCCTCTGCAGTCTTTGACACTGTTGATCACTCTCTCCTGCTTGACACTCTCTTCTCTCTAGGATTCCTGACACTATCTCCCAGTTTTCTTCTTACCTATCTGATTACTACTTCTCTTTCCTGGATCCTCCTCCAGATCACACCTTTTAGGAGTCCCACAGGGTTCTGTCCTGGGTCTTCTCTTCTCCTTCCATACTACTTCACTTGGTGATTTCATCAGTTCCCATGGATTTAATTACCATCTCTATGCTGATGATATGAGCAGCTAGGTAGCACAGTGGATAGAGCACAGGGCCTAGAGTCAGGAGGACCTGAATTCAAATCCAGCCTCAGAAACTTACTAGCTAAGTGACCCTGGACAAGTCACTTAATCCTGTTGGCTAGATTTCCTCAACTGTACAATGAGCTGGAGAAGGAAACAGCAAACCACTCCAGTATCTTTGCCAAGAAAACCCCAAATAGGGGCATGAAACAAATGAACAACAAAAAATGCTGATAATTCTCAAATCTAACCATTCTGCCCCAAACTGTTTGCCGACCTCCAAGCTCACATCTCCAACTGCCTTTCAGACACCCTGAAATAGATTAAACTTATTATGTCCAAAATAGAACTCATTATCTTTCCCCCTAAATCTTCCCCAATTCTTATCCTGTTACTATCAAGGTCAGTCCCTCATGCTAAAAACCTAGGAATCATCATAATGAATTCTTTACTATCTCTCACCTCCCATACCCAAGCTGTAGTCAAGGCCTATAGATTTCACCTTTGTTATGTGTGTCTCCAAGACAGGACCCTGTGGGTCCTTATCTCTTCTGACCCTGTCACCACTCCAGTGCAGGCTCCAAACACCTTACTCCTGAATTATTACAATAGCCTGCTGGTGGAACTGCCTACCTCAAGGCTCCCCCACTCCAATGCATTTTCCATTCAGTCACTAAAATGATTTCCTAAAACAAAGGTCTGGTCATGTCACTACCACCCCACCCCACCCCTACTCAATACACTCCAGTGCCTCCCTATGGCCTTCCAGGAAAAAAAAAAAAAAAAAGCAAAATACTCTGTTTGGCTTTTGAAGCCCTTCATAATCTAGCCCTCTCCTACCTTTCCATCTTCTTATTCCTTACCCCCAATAGTACTCTTCAGTTGAGAACAGCCTCCTGGCTATTCCACAAACAATATACTCCATCTCTCAAGTTCCAGACATTTTCTCTGGCTGTCTCCATGCCTGGAACACTCTCCCTCTTCCACTCCAATACTGACCTCTCTAACTTGGTTTAAGTCTTAACTAAAATCCCACCTTCCATAGGAAGCCTTCCCTAACCCTTTAATTCCAGTGTTTTCTTTTTTTTCTTTTTTTTAAGGCAATTGGGATTAAGTGACATGCCCAGGGTCACAGAGCTAATAAGTGTCAAGTGTTTGGTCTGAGGCTGCATTTGAACTCAGGTCCTCCTGACTTCAGGGCCCGTGCTCAATCCACTGTGTCACCTAGCTGCCGCTCAGTGTTTTCTCTATTAATTGTTTCCTATTTATCTTACATATAGCCTGCTTTGTATATATTTTTTGCATATCATCTCCTCCATTAGATTACAAACTCCTTGAGGGAGGGACTGTCTTTTACCTCTTTTTTAATCTCCAGCACTTAGCACAATGTCTGACACATAGTAGGCACTTCAAAATGTTTACAGAATGAATGAATGAATCTAACTGTATGTCAAGTTGGACAAAAGGCACTCTTTATCCGTGTGGTTTTTCCTACATAGATTGATAGATTAATCTGTTTTAAGTAATCATGTATCTCACCAAAGAGTCCTCATAGTATTCCAGGGTTTGATGCAATCAATACTATGTTACCTACCAAAAGGAGTATCTGGAGGAACTCACCCACTATAGAGAATTCCTCTTCCATTTGTACTGTAAGACATTTTCCATTACATACGTTAAACCATGCTCCAAAAATCCAATCCCATTCTCAGATATCATCTTGGTATTCAGCTGATCACTTCCCAAATCTACGTCCCTTTTGAAGGCCTTCAGAAGCAGTAGTAAAAATTCCATCTATACCCCTATGTGTTCAGTTGCATGCCTGTCTTCATAATCTTTAGAAATGCTTTTTATATTCCTTCTCACTAGTGTCATTTGTGCACACAGCAGGTACTTAGAGGACTCGACCATATTCCCACTCACTCAGACTTACACCTTAGGTATCATCCTCTACTCTACATTCTCTCTAGCCCCATTTCCAATCAGTTTCCAAGCTGCCAATGCTACCTCTGTAACATCTTACATACCCAATTCCTTTTCTCTTCACTGCCACTGCTACAATCACAGTTCAAGGACTCATCACCTCACACCTGGACTACTGCAATAGCCTTCTGATTGGTCCAAAGTCTGTCCCCCATTCCAGCACACCCTCCTCTCAGCTACCAAAGTGATCTTCCTAAAGTACAAGTCAGACCATGTCAAGCCCCTATTCAATAAGCTTCAGTGGCTCTTTGGTTTTTAAAGCTCTTTATGACCTGGTCCCTTCCTATCTTTTCAGTCCGAAACCTTACTTCTCACCACATACTCTACAATTCAATGACACTGGCCTTCCACCTGTTCCTAGTATAAGATTCCATCTCCTACCTTCTTGCATTTCACAGGCTATCCCCCATGCCTGGAATTCTCTCCTTCTTCTTCTCTACCTCCTCACTTCCCTGGCTTTCTTCAGGACCATCTAAAATCACATCTTTTGCAAGAAGCTTTTCCCAATTCTCCCCAATGCTTGCTCATTCCCTCTAAGAGTACCTCCAATTTATTTTGTATATATCTTGGCTGTACATAGTTACTTGCATGTTGTCTCACCTATTAGACTATAAACTCCTAAGAGATAAGAAAGCTTTTCATGTGATACCCACTCCCCATTAGGTTCCTCTATATTTTATACACTCTTCTAACTCCCCAATTATGAGTCTTTCTTATCTAAAACAAAGGAAGATTGTCTACTTCAGAGATGTCAAACACAGGCCCAAAACACTACTGTGTATGGCCAAATTGGATTAAAATGTTACTTAGAAATAATTAACAAAATAAGTTAACTTTTAAAATAGAAATATATAAACGTGTGGTTTTCTAAGTCACTGAGGCTCACAGGAATCCTAATGTATACTTTAGTGATCCCCATTTCTATTTGAATTTGATACCACTGGTCTACACACAGGCACATATACAAGCATGTACCCACACATGCACACATACAGAGTTTGGTACTGTAATAAATTAAACTCAATAAGACAAAAAGAAAAGAGTTTAAGAAGGAGGTTGTAGGCACAAGCAAAACAAACCCAATCTCAGAGGGGAATCATAAAAGGAGGATTAAAAAGAAATAAAGTCTAAGAACCAATTATTGGGGTCAGGATGAAGTGAAGTAGAAAAAGACATCAAAGTAGAAATGGATTGCTTTACAAATCACTAGTGTTGATCACATTATTTCTCTTTTGTAACCTTCTTCTAAATCATTGGAAACAGATTAATTTCTCATCAATCGGTCACATGCAAAATAGTAAAAATTAAATGCTACTTAAATTAATTTACTTATTCAGTGTCAGATTCTTCAAATTACAAAAGGGTTACTTTATAAAGCTAGAAAAAATAATAACAAAATTCATCTGGAGAGACAAATGATCAAAACTCTTCAAAGAAGTAAGGAAAAAAGGGAGCCTAGCAATACCAAATCCCAAACTATACTATGAAGTAGTAATTATTAAAGCCATTTGGTAAAGGTAAAAATAGGCAAGCTGATTAGTGCAACAGATTGAAGCAAATGAACATTGTAGTATGAAGTTCAATAAACCCAGAGACTTCGACTACCAAAGTAAAGGCAAAAACTGTGGGAAACTAGATGGAACTGCTGAAGAAAATTAGTTTTCTGATTCTGATCAGGGAATTCCCGATTTGCAAATCTGTTTCTCATAATGAAACTAATTAAACAGCTATTTGATTACTGGCACTTGGTCTCTGGTCTGCTCTTTCGTCTTTCTCAGGTTAGAGACTGGCTCAGTAAAATCCTGTTAACAAGATTAACAATTCACACTAACTGTGCATAGTTTTTGACCCAGCAATACCACTACTAGGTCTATATCCCAAAAATATCAAAGGAAAAGGTCCTATTTATACAAAAATATTTACAGCAGTTCTTTTTGTGGTGCCAAAGAATTGGAAATTGAGGAGATGCCCATCAACTGGGGAATGGCTGAACAAGCTATGATTTATGACTGTGATGGAATACTATTGTGCAAACAGAAATAAGGAGCAGCATGATCCAAGTTTTTCTCAGAAAAACCTGAAGCCTTATATGAACTAATGCAAAGTGAAGTGAGCAGAACTCAGAAGAACACTGTATACAGTAATAGCAATATTGTAAGAATGAACAACTGTGAAAGACTTAGCTACTCTGATCAAGGCAACGATCCAAGATAATTCCAAAGCACCCATGATGA